AGGGTCCCCATGTTCCTGCAGGGTCCACTATGCCCCCATGGGGTTCTTCATGCCCCTATGGGGTCCCCACGGGATCAGCATGCCCCTCTGTGGGGTCCTCATGTACCTGTGGGGTCCCCACACCTCTACCATCCCCCTGAGGGTCCCCCATGCTCCAATGGGAATGCCGTGTCCCTGTGGGGTCCTCCATGCTCATACAGGGTCCCCGTGTCCCTGCAGGGTTCCTTGTGTTCCTATGGGGTCCCCCATGATTCTGTGGGATCCCTCTGTCCCTATGGAGTCTCCATGTCTCTTTGGGGTCCCTATATCCCTCTACATCCCCTGGCACCCCCAAACCACCAAGAGCTGTCCAGACTCCTACAGTGTCCCCACACCCCTATGGGGTCCCCACACCCTTTATGCTGACCCCATGCCCACCCCAGCTCCAGGTTGCCCCAAAATGCTGCTCCCCTGTGTCCCCAAGGCTGGGGACTGTCCCCCAACCTCACCCCTAGTGGTGCCAGCCCGTGTCCCCCTGTCCCCCCACATACGGGGCTCCTCAGGCTGGGGCCAGACACGCTCGGGTCTCCTCCTGCTCGGGGGCCTGGGGGGCTTCTGCTGCCGCCGGATGTACTCGACTGGGGACACAGAGGGTGGCCCTGGCTTTGGGGTGCAAGGTGGGGGGTACATCCCCTCCATCCCTCCCTGCAGGCCAGGGGACCCTGGTGGTCCCCCCACCTGCACCCCAGCACCGTACAGTCCTCGTAGTCCTCCCGCTCCAGCTGCTCGTTGTAGTCCAGGGTCGGGGGCTCCGGCTCCTCGGGAAGCTCTGCAGAGAGGGGACACGGGGGGAAGGGGCACAGGTGGCACTGGGGTGCAGGAAGGGGACACCAGAGAGCAGGGAGGTGGCCCTGGGGTGCAAGGTGGTGGCACTGGGACTCAGGGAGGTGGCACCAGGATGCAGGAAGGCAGCACTGGGACACAGGGAAGTGACACTAAGGATTAGGGAGGTGACATAGGGGTGCAGGAAGGTGGCAAGTGGGAATAGGGAGGTGGCCCTAGGCTGCAAGGGAGTGGCCCTGGGGAGCTGGGAGATGGCATTGGGGTGCAGGGAGATGACATTTGGGGACAGGGAGGTCGCACTGGGGCGCAGTGGGGTGGCCCCAAGACAGGGTGGTGGCCCTGAGGGCTGGGCACTCACCTGGCTGGGGCTTGGGGTCCCAGTCCTCCCGGCCCAGCCCCCAGCGCTCACTCTGTGGCTCCTCCAGCTCCCCTGGGGACAGGAAGAGAGTGAGGGGCTGGTAGGGCCCCTCAGGGCCCCAGCATGCCCCTCATCTACCCTGTCCTACAGCAGGAAGAGGAAGGTTAGGGGGACAGAGAGGGGGACTCCAGGGGGACAAAGCCACTAGGGCAGCTGAGCAGGACATGGGGTGATGCTCTGCTTTGCTGAGACCCACCACCCCAACACAGCCCACAGCGAGGGATGTCCCCAAAACTCACCTCGGCCACCTCCATCCTCTTCCTCCTCTTTGTAGTGTGAAGGCTCCAGGAACTCAGGTGCCCCCTCAACATCCTCACCCTGCAGGGGCTGTGGGGTGGTGGGGGGCTCTGGGGAGAGGCTTGGTGGTACCAGTGGCTTCTTGCCAGAGGGTTTGGTGGCCTTGGGTGGCTTCTCCTTGGGTGGCTTCTCCTTGGGCTTTTTGGAGCCTTTTGGGGTTTTTTCAGAGCCTTTGGGGTTTTTTTCTGAGCCTTTTTGGGGGTTTTCAGAGCCTTTCGGTGGCTTTTCCTTGGGTTTCTTGGGGAGTTTGTCCTTGCTCCGGTCCCTGTCTTTGTTTTTGTCCTTCTTGGGGCTCCGGGGTCTCTCCTTGGGCTTCTTGGGAGGCTTGGGGGGTTTTTCCTTCTTCCCCTTCCTGGGTTTCTCAGGCTCTGTCAGCGGCCCTGGGGAGTCTGGGGGAGGGAGGGGGCGAAAAGGAGGGGCAGCCGCCCCGAGGTGGGGTGAGGGACGGCGGGGCCGGGCTGAGGGGTCCCCCCCGTCCCGCCTCCCCCCGTTCCCTGTGGGATGGCGGTGCCGGTCGCTCACCGGTGCCGGTGCCGGTGCCGATGCTGAGGTCGGTGCCGAAGCTCAGCTCGGTGCCGTGCCCGTCCCGGTCCCCGCCGTCCCCGGGCCCGAGAAAGCCCCGCAAAAACTCCTCGATCTCGGCGTCGGTGAGCGCGGGGGGCCCCGGGGCGGCCCCCGGTGCCGGTACCGGCAGCAGCGGCAGCAGCGCGGCCGTCAATAGGAGGCAGGAGCGGGGCGGCCCCGCCGGGACCATCGCGCTCCGCACCGGCCCCGCGCCCCGAGAGCCCCGAGAGCCCCGGGCGGGCGGGCTGGGGGCGGCGCTGCGGCCGGGGGCGGCTCCGAGCGGCGGCGGCGCCCCCGGGACCCGCTCGGCACCGGGACGGCACCGGGATGATACCGGCACCGGGATGGCGCTGGCACAGAACGGCATCTGGATGGCACTGAACGGGATGGGCACCGGCACTGCCACTGTCGCTGGCCACATGCTGTACTGGCACCGCACCGGGTCCGAGACTGCCGGGGACCCGCACTGGCACCGCGCGGAACTGGCGCTGCCTGGTACCGGCACTGGCACCGGCACCGGCACTGCCGGGGACCTGCGCTGCACTGGCACCGGGACTGGCACTGCAGTGACACCGGTACTGAGGGGACCCGCGCTGCACTGCGCTGGCACTGCCTGGGACCGGTCTCGAGCTCTCACCGGCACTGACTGGGGCACAGCACTGTACTGGCGCTGTGGGCACCCTGGACTGCAGGGGCTGGCATTGCATCAGCACTGGCACGGCGTGGGGACCAGGACGACACGGCACCGGCACCGTGGCCCCACGTGCGGCGTCTGGTTCAGGCCTGGCACTGGGCTGGGCACTGGTGCTGCACCCGCAGCAGTGACACCGACACCGTGCTCACAGCGCAGGCACACCCTGCACCCCTGTAACCCCTGCGCCCCTGTACCACCCACCGCTCTGTGCTGCTGTAAACCCTGAACCCCCACTACCCCCTGCACTCCCGTACCCCCTGCAACCCCTGAACCCCCTGCACTCCCTGTCCCCCCTGTCCCCCTGCACCATTTGTACCCACTGCACCTCTGTGGGTGCTGCACATGCAGGCTCGGAGCCTCAAGTGCCAGTGCTGCATCTGCCCTGGGACCGGGCACAGCCCCTGGCATCCGTGACACTGCAGGCACAGCACACAGGAACCCCGTTGTCTGGAGCAGCACATGGACACACTACACACGTGAAGACACCGCACATGAGACATGCACAGCACACGGCACACGCACTGCACACCCCCTGCACGTGCCTGGCAGTGCCCTGGGCTCCCTGCACACGCTGCACACGGAGCACACAGGACGAGCTGCGTGTGGGGCAGGACCACGCGCAGAGACCGTGCACTGCACACTGCACACGTCCTGCACACGTGTTGCACACACATTACACACGTGTGACCCCCCCTCCGACACTTCCCCTGCCCAGGACGGGGGTTCAGGCTGGGGTGTGCCCCCCTAGAGTGCCCCCTGGGGTGCTGGAGGGCGCAGAGGGTGATGTTGGGGGGTGCACTGGGTGCCCCCCACCCGCTCGGGCCCCGCAGGCTCCCTGGGCCGCGGTGGTGGCGGGGCCACGTGGCAGCTCAGGCCTCCCGTGCTCGTCACATGCGTGGCCCCCCCTCGTCACACATGTGCCTCCCCCCGGCCATGACTCACTGTCCAGCAATGCTGGGGCCTGCCGGGAGCTGGGGGGCCCCACCTGCACCTCCGAGTGCCTCCCAGTGCAGCCCAGTGAGCCTCTGCTGCAGCCTCCACCCCACCCCATGCAGCCCCCCGTGACACCTCCCCTTCCAGCTCCACTCCCAGGACAGCCTCCCTAAGCTGTCATGGTTCCCCCACTACAGAATCCCCCGCAGTACAGCCTTCCCCCAGTACAGCCCCCCTATTCCCAGTACAAATATCCCCCCCCAGTGCAGCCCTACCAGTACAGCTCCCAGTAGACCCCCCCCACCCAGTACAGTCCCCCCCATTCCTAGTACAGTCCCCCAGTTCAACCCCCTCCCAATCCAGCCTCACCAGAACAGATCAGCACAACTTTGCAGTGCAACCCCACCAGTACAGCTCCCAGTATACCCCCTCCAATCCCAGCCCCTGTGTGGACCACCCAGTACAGTCCCCCAGCCAATATAGCCCGCTTCCAGTTCAGCCCCCCCCCCGAGCACACCCAGTACAGCTCCCAGTATAGTCTTCACACCCAGTAGAGTCCCCCCTTCCCAGTACAACCCCCGTAGGGTCCCAAAGCTGCCCCAGCCCCTGGCAGGGGGGAAGAAGCCTGTGAGCCCCCAGGGGGGTGGCCCATGGGTGGCACTCTGTGCTCTGGGTGACACTGGGTTCTAGCGGGTGGGGGTCCTGGGGAGAGGTGTGTCCTGGACAGGGGTGGTCCCAGTAGGATGGGGTACAGTGTCCTCAGAGTGGAGGTGTCCCATGAGGGTCCCAGCAGGGTGGGGCTCGTGGAGGGTACATCCAGGAGGGTGGGGGTCCCAGCAGTGGGGTGGGGGGGTCCCATGAGAGTGTGGTGGATCCAGCAGTGTTGGGGGGTCGCTCAGGAGGAGGGGGGGATCCCCAGGACAGTCCCCAGGATGGTGGGAGTCCCAGTAGGGTGAGGGGGGATGTCAGTGGAATGGGGCTCCCAGCAGAGTGGGGAAGGGTCCAGGAGGGAGGGGGTCCCGGCAGAGTGTAGGTGGCCCCTGCACAGGGGCGGCGCTCAGGAGGGTGGGGGTCCCAGCAGTAGGGTGGGAGTCCCAGAGGGGAGGGGAAGCCCATAGGGGCAGGGGCTCCCAGCAGAGTGGGGGTCCTAGGGCTCAGTGCCCCCTCCATTCGAGGCCACGTGCCCCCCCGGGGGGCCCAGCCCCGTCCCCCCTGCTCGCCCTCCCCTCCCCGTCCCCACCCTTTCCTGCTCCTGACTCACCGCCGGCGCCTTCCGGGTGTCGGGGCGTCCGTCGGTGCCACTCGGCCGCAGCCTTGGACGGAGCCGGGGCTTCTCGGGGCGTCCCTCGGGGGTCTGTCTGTCCGTCGGGGGGGTCTGTCCGTTCGTGCGGAGGAGGGGCTGGCGCGGTGTCCATCTGTCCGTCATGGAATGTGTGCCTCGGGGATCTCTGTCTGTCTGTCTGGGGGCATCCCACCCCCGTGGGGTCTGTCTGTCTGCTAGGGTGTCCGTCTCCCCTTCCAGGTGTCTGGCTGTCCATCAGGACACCTCTGTCTATTGGGTGTCTGTCCGTCTTCCTGGGTGTCCATTTATCGGAGTGTCTGTCCATGGGGGTGTTCCCTTACCCATAGAGGTCTCCACCTGTACATGGGGGTGTCTGTCCATCCTCTGGGTGACTGCCTGTCCATTGTGGCATCTGTCTCCCTGGTGAGGTGCCCCTCTGTCCATCTGGGTGTCCATCGGGGTGTCCATTTGTCCACCTGGGTGTGTTCAGTTGCCTTCTGGATGTCTGTTGGCAAGTCTATCTGTCCTTCTGTGTGTCTGTTGGGGCATCTGTCTGTCCTTCTGAGTGTCCATCTGTCCATCACGGTGTCCCTCTGTGCAATGGGTTGTCCCTCTGTCCTTCTGGGTACCTGTCCAGATATCGGTCTGTCCTTCTGAGTGTCTCATTGTTTATCGAGGTGTCCATCAGGGTGTCCACTTGTCCTTCTGGGTATCTGTTAGGGCATCCATTTGTTCTTCAGGGTAATAATCTGTCCACTAGGGTGTCCTTGACCTTCTGGCTCTCCATCCTTTGTGTCCATCTCATGGTGTCCCCCCATCCGTCCATCCACAGGTCCATCCATCCACCCATCTCTGCCACCCCAACGCCATGTACACCGCGCTCCCCAAAAGGTACATCCCCTCCCCACTACCCCCCCTTCCCTGATTGCCCCCCTCTCACCCCTGCCTGCCCCACAGTGGTTCCCCTTTCGGCCCTGCAGCCACTCTCCCGGGGCTGCACATCTGGCGGGTGGAGCAGCTGCGGCCCGTGGAGGTCCCCGAGGCTGCCCGGGGGATTTTCTTCTCCGGGGATTCTTACCTGGTGCTGCACAACGGGCCAGAGGAGCGCGCCCACCTCCACCTGTGGATGGGTGAGCGCCGGGGGGGCTGTGGGGCTCCAGGGGCAGGTGGGGTTGGGTGCTGACCTGGCTGCCCACAGGCCGGGACTCCTCGCAGGACGAGCGGGGCGCCTGTGCCCTCCTCTCCACCCAGCTGAGCTCTCTGCTAGGCGAGCGCCCCGTCACTCACCGTGAGGTGCAGGGCAACGAGTCTGACCTCTTCATGGAGTACTTCCCCCACGGCCTCACCTACCAGGTACTGGGGTGCCCAGCGGCACTTGGGGTCCTCCCAGTATGCAGCACCCCAACCAGGCTTCCAGCACCCCAGATGGGTGCTCAGTGTCACCGCTGGGCTCTCCACACCCTCACTACTCTGCTTCATCTGTGCTGTGCAAGAGGGACCCCCACTGGGTGCTGGGCACCCTCAGAAGGTGCTCAGCATCCCTTCTGGGTGTTCACATTCATGCTGGATGCTTGTCATCCCCACTGGGTGCTGGGCACCCCATCAAGTGCTCAGCACACCCATGTGGTGCTCAGCATCCCCTCCAGGTGCTAACTATCCATGCTGAGTGTTTGCCACCCCCATTTGGTGCTGGACACCCCATGGAGTGCTGAGCCCCCTGTGCCAGCAGGAAGGTGGTGTGGCCTCAGCATTCAAGCCCACCCAGCCCAGCCCCAGCCCTGGCCCTGCACCCAAACTGTACCAGGTGAAGGGCAAGAGGAAGATCCGGGCGAGTGAGCGAGACCCAGCCTGGGCCAGCTTCAACACCAGGGACTGCTTCCTCCTCGACCTGGGACAGGTGAGTGGGGTGCACTTGCCCCCTCCCTGGGCCTGCTGTCCCCATCTCTGGCCCCCAGGTCCTTCTCATGTGGTGGGGGGGAGGGGGCAAGTTCAACGTGTCCTATGTGTCCCTCTGTCCTCTGGGGCATCCATCAGCTCATTGGGGTGTCCCTCTTGGTTGGGGCACCTGTACCTCCATAGGACTGGCTGTTTGTCCTTCTGTTGGGGTGTCTGTCCATCTCTCCAAGCGCCCAGCCATCTGCAGGGGTGTCTGCCTCATTTTTGGGGTGTCTATCTGTTGGGGTGTCTGTCTGTCTCTTGGGTGCCCACTGACCTCTTGGGGTGTCCCCCTATCCGGAGCGGGGTTTGATGGTTGGGGTGTCTGTCCATCCATTGCAGTGTCCCTCTGCCCATCGCAGCATCTTCCTGGACCAGCTTCAACCCCCGCGGCTGCTCCATCCCCAGCCTGGCTGAGGCAGGTTGGGGACCACTGTGGGGTGGCTCCATCACCACTGTTCCCCTCCCTGTCCCCAGACCCTTTTCGTGTGGTGTGGGGCCCGGAGCAACGTCCTGGAGCGCAGCAGGGCGCAGGAGCTGGCTGTGGCCATCCGGGACAGCGAGCGGGGTGGCAAGGCACGCCTGGAGATCGTGGTGGACGGCGAGGAGCCACCCGAGATGGTCCAGGTACGTCCTCACTGGGAGGAGAGGGGGACGTGGGTGTCCCTGGGGTGGCTCTGTGACACCCCCATCTTGTCCCCTGGCAGGTGCTGGGCCCCAAGCCCCCCTTGCAGGAGGGCAGCCCCGAGGAGGACGTGGCAGCTGACCGGAGCAACACGGGGGCAGCCGTGCTCTACAAGGCAAGGACATGGCAGGACACCCCCGTGGCACCAGGGCTGGGCATGGCTGAGCGTCACCATGGAGGGCACAGGGATGGAGATGGCCAGGGGACACCATGGTGATTCTAGGGTCAGGCATGGCCAGGGACAGTGCAGTGGTCCCATGGGAGACGTGGGACTGGGCAACACCAGGGGACACTGTGGTGGCCCCTGGGCATACGTGAAGCTGTGGACAACCAGGGGACACTCCAGTGGTTCTAGGAAAGCCACAGGGAGCTGTGCATGGCCAGCAGACACACCTTGGTGGCCCCAGAGAGCATATGAGGCTGGGCATGGCCTGGGGACACAGTGGATGCCCTGAGGCAGGCATGGATGGGGAATGCTGCAGTGGCTGGGTGGGAGGACACCGGGCTGGGGCAGCTCTGGGTGACCTTGCAGTGACGTCCCCTCCACGGGCAGGTGTCGGACGTGACGGGGCGCATGGACCTGACCCAGGTGGCCGCTGGCAGCCCCTTCAGCCAGAGCCTGCTCTGCCCCGATGACTGCTTCGTGCTGGACAACGGCGCTGGCGGGAAGGTCTACGTCTGGAAAGGTGCCTGGGGTGGGGACACAGGGTGACATGGAGACGGGGGCCATGCCCAGAACGGCTCTGACATCCCCACCGCAGGGCGCAAGGCCAATGAGCAGGAGCGCCGTGCAGCCCTCAGGGTGGCCGAGGAGGTGATCGCCCGCATGGGCCACCCGCCCCAGACACAGGTGGGTGCAGTGGTGAGGGGTGCCCGGGGGCTGGCATGGGAAGCATCACCCCCTCCCGATCCCTGTCCCGTCCCTGTCCCCATTGCTGTCCCGGCAGGTGGAAATCCTACCCCAGGGCTGCGAGACGCCCCTCTTCAAGCAGTTCTTCACCAGCTGGAAGTGAGCAGCAGGTGCCCATGGGGCCAGTGCCCAGTCCAGGGTGTCACCAGGCTTATGCTGGCTGTGCCAGCTCCCTGCAATGCTTGTGCCCTGCTCAGCCATCCCTATGCCTGTGTCTTTGCCCATCCCATCCCCATGCCATTGTCACTCACATCCTTGTGCATCACATCCTTGACAACCCATGCCAAGCCCATGCCATCTCCATTGCTGTGCTATCCCTGTGCCTTTGCCCACCCCGTGTCCTTGCCACAACCGTCTCCTGCCATCCCCAAGCCCGTGTCATCCCCCTTCCTGTGCCATTCCCTGTGTCATCCCCATCCCTTTGCCCCTCCCATGCCCACATCATCCCTGTCCATCCCTGTGCCATCCCCATGTCCACATCACTTCCTTCCCCATCCCTACCTCATCCCCAAGTCCAAGCCATCTCCTTCTTATGCCAACCGCATCCCATGCCATCCCTCCTCCACACCATCCCCAAACCCATGTCATCCCTGCCCCTGTGCCATCCTGTCATCCCCACTCCTTTGCCCACCCTGTGCCTACCTCCATCCCCATCCCTACACCATCCCAAGCCACGCCATGCCCACAATACACCTTCCCCCTGCCACTGCTGCCATAACTGGGCCACCTGCACCCCTGACCACCTTCCTGAGTGTGCCTGTGCCACGCTGTGCCCACCCCGTGCCCATGCATCTCACCCCTTGCCCAGGGCCCCGGAGAATAAAGGGACAGTGCCACATCCTGTGTCTGGCTGCTCTGGGTGTGGTACCAGCCCTGGGGATGGGGGGACACTAGGGGACTCAGGACAGGGCAATGGCCCTGCAGGGGACGAAGGTGTCCCCACCACCCTGGTGTGATGACACCCCACATGGTACCCTACAGGGCCACCTGTGTCACCAGGGCACCAGCCCTCTGCCCCATGAGGTGATACCCACAGCTACAGGATGTCCCCAGGGGCTGGCAGCACCCAGAGTGACCAGGAGCCTCAGTCCTTGTGTGACCACCTGACCCCGAAGTGGTTGGGAAAGGTGGGAGATGGCTCCCAACTGGCTGCCACCCTGCATCCCCCACGTCCCCAAATCACCCGTGTGCTCAAGTCCCTGATACCTCCAAATGCCCAGTGTACCTCCATGTCCACATCCTCGAATGTCCCACCCTCTGCTCTCTCCACAGTCCCTGTGTCCCCAAACCCTCAGTGTCACCAACAACACCCCCAAATCCCCTCACCACCCTGGGGCCAGCCAGACCCTGCAACCCCCATCACTGCTGGCTGCTCCCTCCCTCATTAGACCCAGATAATTAGTGTTGGAACTAATTATGTCCCCAGTTACCCCTCCCTTGGCCCCTGCTCATGACAATCTGATGTGACAACACGTCTGGCATTAGGGGCACCAAACCCTTGGCATTCCACCCCAATTCCCACCCACATCCTTTCACATCCATCACCAAGGAAAAGCCCTTTTATTGTAGCTGGGGAGGGCCTGAGGTGGGGGGAGAGGGAGGGGGAAGGAGCCCAGGGGAGGGACTTAGAGGAGCCACCATGTTCCCCAGTGGGAGGAGTGGGTGAGCCAGGACCCCCTGACACCTCAAACCCCATCCTCTCCTTTTACTCCTAAAGTGACACTGAGGTGGGAAACTCAATGTGGGGAAGGGGCTGGGCTTTTCCTTGTTCACAGTGAATTTGGGGTAATGGGGGAGGTCCCACCCGCTTGGCCTGGCTGGATCTGCACTGTAGGGGAGCTTATTCACTCCCAATTTAAATCCCTGGAGCATGATTTGGGGAGAGGGAAGGGAAACCCTCTGGTGGGGAGAGCAGGGAGGAAAACAGGTTCACGTGTGGCGAGCTCGGGGTGGTCAGGGTTGGGGGGGAACAGAGCCAGGATTCAGCTCTCCTGGTGATGCCAAAACCATTCTGATGAGCTTTGCTGGTGAAATAAAATTGGGAAAGTGGCTTCTCCGGTGTGGCTGCAGCAGGTCCAAGGTCACAGGGTGAGAGAGAGTGCAGGGGGGAGGTAATTTGTTCCCTGAAAATGCCCTGTGAGGGATTTGCCACCTCCCTCCATCCCACTCCAAAGCCAAGGGAGGAAGGGGAGACCAGCACTGTGGGGCTCAGGGTAGGATGGACCCTTCACCCACCCAAGGGCAGCTATGGGGGGCAGGGGGGCAGCACCTGGGGGGACCCCACTGCCCAGGGAGTGGGGAATGGCACTTCACTTAGAGAGAGAAAGAAAGAGAGAAGAAGAAAAAGCCACACGTCATTTGGAAGAATCAGGCAGGAGCTGAGTGGTCCCAGGAGGCTGGAATGGTCCCAGGGGTCTGGAGCAGTCCCAGGGGTCTGGAGCCCCCCACCAGCCCCCCCGCCAGTCCCCCCTACTCTATCAGTTCCACGTAGTTGGCAGGGAACATGCCAAAGTGACCATCAGGGCCGTAGCCACGCCACCAACCCTCGTCAATCATCTCGATGTTGGTGATGATGTTCTCAGGATCAAAGGAGATCTCGGTGTCATCAGCTGGAATGGAATAGAGAGAAGGAGGGGGGGTCAGACCACCTGTACCCTCCCAGCTCTGGGGTTTCCAACATAAGAGGAGTGTGGAGCTGCTGGAGCAAGTCTAAAGGAAGTCTCAGAGATGCCCCGAGGGCTGGAGCCCCTCTGCTCTGGGGACAGGCTGGGAGAGCTGGGTGTGTTCACTTGGAGGAGAGAAGGCTCTGGGGAGACCTGAGAGCCCCTTCCCGTGCCTAAAGGGGCTCCAAGAGAGCTGGAGAGGGACTTTGGACAAGGGCCTGGAGTGGCAGGACACAGGGAATGGCTGTGGGTCTCACCAGCCTGGTAGTCGTAGAGCGCTCGGGCACAGAGCCCCTTCCCCGCCAGGTCCGGCGGCTCCTGGTACTCCAGCCCATAGTCGTATTTGGCATCATCAGCTCGTTCCTTCAGGAAGGAAGGAGAGAGGGAGAACAGGAATTACCAGAAGAAAAGGGAGGGAGGGAGGAAAACAGCAACGTGAAGCACCCAGAGAGGTAGATCACCCCTGGGGCTCAGAGGCTGGAGGTCCCGGGTGCCCCCCGGAATAAAACCTGGGCTCTGGGAAAGTCTCGCCACATCTCTGCCACGGGACCCAGGAGACCAAACCAGCCCTGAGCCGAAGAGTCAAGGTGGCCACCTCTCCAGTCAACACTGATCCCTGTCCCTTGAGATCTCATCCCAACAAAACCACTGGAGACCAGTGGCAGACAACCTGTCTGGAATCTGATCCTTATCCCTTGGGGTCCCCCCTGCAGAGAGAGGTTCAATTCCCATGGATAAGCTCCAGCTTCCCATGGAGCTTTCTGCCGGAGCCTGAGCCAGCTGTCATTTGCTTTCCTCTGGAAAGGCTGAGGGGATTGCTCAGCCCATCTACTCTGGAATCCTTTGGAATCTGCTGGACACTTCCAGACAAATTCCAGAATGATAAAATGATGTTTGGAATGCTGATGGTTTGGTGAGCAGAGGAGAGGAAACCAAAGGGCCCCACATCTCCAAGGGAAGCACAGCACAACCCCACTATTAGCCACTGGAGAATATTGGAGCACGCCAAGAATAGCTGGGAATTCCAGCTCTGCTGGGTTTGGATGTGCAGGAGAAGGAGGAGAAAGGGCTTTGAAGAGGCTTGTGGATCCTCTCCCCTCACTGGCTCTGGAGCACTGACAACAGCTGGACGGCCCTGGAGTACAGGCTGGGTGCCAGGGGCTCAGCACCAGTGTCTCCCACTGGGAGCACTGGGGAGGGATGCAGCAGCACCCCCTCACCAGGCAGATGCACTGGAGTGCACGTGAGCTCCAGGGTTTCTCCTACTGATTTTAGCCCAGAAAAGGGTTCCAGACCCATCCTAAAGGATAAAGCCACGCTCTCCTACATGAATTCTGGCCCCTCCTCAGGGGTCCCTGCCCCCCAAACGCACCTGGGGAGGCTCCTCATAGATGGCTGAGGGCTCCGGAGGCTCCTCGTACAGATTCGTCTCTTCCACACGGGACATCGGGACGCCAGAATTGTACCCGGAGTCTCGTCCTGAGGAGAAACATGGCATCTGTCACCAAAATCACGCCCTGTTCCCTTGTCCATCTGCCTCCTGCTCCAGGCTGGAGTGACAGCACATTCCTGGTGGAAGCTGGGTGTCCCCCAGATCTCCTGTCCAGCCAGGGAATGGAGCATGCTTGGACCATGGGATGGGGCAGGCAGGAAGCACAGAAGAGAGCAAGCAGGGGTTTAGGGAGCAGTGAAAAGGATAAGGGAGAGATCCAGGATCTCCAACAGGGAAGGGATAAACTCGAAGGGATAAACTTACTCTGGATGAACCATGTTCCCGTGGAGGGGAAGGGCTGGAGTGGAGGCCATGGCCAAGAGCAGCATCTAGTGGTGATGGTGGCCTGGCTACACTGGAGCATGGCCCTGGCCCTCGGCACATCCCTGGGCCCCAGTCTGTCCCTGGTCTCTGCCTCACCCCTGGCCCTCTCCTTGTCTCTGGTCCTCAGCCTGTCCCTGCCCCCCACCTCATCTCTGGACCCACAGCTTGTCCCTGGTCCTCAGTTCATCCCTGGCCCCCAATTTGTTGTCCCTAAACCCCACCTCACACCTCATCATCCCTGGCCCCCACCTTGTTTATGCCCTCACCTCCTCCCTGCACATGGCAGGGGGGTGGAACTAGATGGTCCTTCACATCCCTTCCAACCCAAACCAACCTGTGATTCCATGATTCAGGGACAAGGCCAACCCTCAGTGCCACCCACAGCACATGGGGAGACCTCTGGGCACAGCCAGCCCTCTTCTGGAATCGCTCCCTGTCCCAAACCACTGGAAAGTGGTTAAGCAGGGGCACCTTCCACTAGCCCAGGTTGCTCCAAGCCCCATCCAACCTGGCCTTGGACACTTTCAGGGATGGGGTAGCCGCAGCTTCTCTGGGCAACCTGTGCCAGTGCCTCACCACCCTCACAGGGAAGAATTTCTTCCCAATATCCCATCTAACCCTGCCCTCTGGCAGTAGGAAGCCATTCTTCCTTGTCCTGTCACTCTGTGGCCGTGTACTGGTCTTTACTGGGACAGGGAAACAGCCCAGTCTAACTCTGGAGTTGGGAAACCCCTGCACAGGGGGTGTCTCAGGGCACTTTGGGCAAGTCCAAGTGTGACTATCAAAGCCCCTGTGGTCTGGAGGGGGCTGGGGGTGCTTGGAGCTGAATTCCAGCCTTTCAGCAGGAGATATCCTCATCCCCTGGACACTGAGCCTTCGGCTGAGGACTAGGAGGAACCATCCTCACCTCAGCATCACACTCAGCCCTGGCTGGAGACAAACACGGGGGTTCCTGGTCCAAGGAATGGGAAAAACACATGGAGTCTCTGAGCCAGGCCCCAACATGCCCAATTTTGTGGAATCTATTTGAAAAGATGCAGAGAAAAGCTCTGGGGAGGGAGCCAAGCACGAACCTGCTGCAGGTACTGGGGAGGCTGGAGGTGACCCCCAAACATCCCCGCTGGGGGAGGCAGGACTGGGCACAGAGTTCACCTCCTTCTGCAGGAACGGGCTGCGGAGCTTCCCTGGAAAAGGAGACTGAGGGGCTGCAGGAGCTGGGCAGGCAGCAGGACTCCCAGCCCACGACTGTGCACCCAGGGGTGCTGCTGAGTCACCCTCCCAAGCAGGATTTTCCAGCTCTAATCCTGGTTGTGGAAAACAAGTTTGGCAACTGGTTACAGCAGCAGCAGCCAAGGGAAA